AAAAAAAAAAAAAAAAAAAAAAAAAAAAAAAAAAAAAAAAAAAAAAATCAACTGACCAAAAAAAGAAAATCGAACTTGGTAGCGATAGAATCAACAGATTAAGATAAGAACATACAAACAGAACATGTGATCCCATTCAATCCCTTCAAAAAGAACCGTAAGTGTATGAATTAGAGACGGTGAAAGTAGAGAAAAGGAGGCATACGCTATAATGAGGTTGAGCTCCTGGGGGCCGGTGAAGTTGCCGACGCAGGAGTGAGTGACGTTGGTAGGTTTGTGAGCGGTGACGACATAGTTCCAGACACTCATCTTTAACCTATGAAGGTTGCGATTGTTCCGTAGGCCAAAACCCTACCTAACAGTTGCCGCTCGATAATGGCTCTTTATTGTGCGTTACAGAGAAAATGGCCGGACGGCTCAGCCGACGCCTACAGAAGAAGTAACTACCAAATCAGCGATCAGAGGTTTCAGGCGAGAAGAAAGTAACAAAATATATATATATATAAGAACTAACAAATTAAGTTGTCATCAATGAAATCATTTGGAAAAAGAAGGTTTAATTATTATATATATAATTTTTAACCAAATTTGAGGGCTAAAATCGTATGCGATTGACTTAAACAAAACTTTGTAGTTGACGGGCGATATTTTAGTAGATAAATTAAGGTCTCAGATGGCCGAAAGAATCCTTATATGCCCTCGAAGATGGATTATTACGAGCCATCCTTGGCATTCGGGTATCCACTTCAAAAGAAACCTGTCTAAAACTAGCTATAGGTGGTAGAGGGTCGAGTTATTGATGTGCGATGGATCCAGAAAAAAGGGGTTTGAGTTATAATCCAATTTGTGTATATATTTCACAGAAACCGTGAAATCAAATTAGGTGATAAGGTAGCAGGAAGACATGGAAATAAAGGTATTGTTTCAAAAATTTTGCTTAGAGAAGACATGCCTTATTTGTAAAATGGAAGACGTGTTGATATATTGATCACTGTTACATAGTTCTATATCTTCATTTTCGTTTAAATAGTAGTATTTTTTTTTTTATTAAGTTTTCGCAGTTTTTATATGTTCGTCTTTTTTATATTTTATCTACTTATTTAGAGAATAATCATTTTTATTTAGATGGTTTTGGGTCAATTTTAAATATAATCCAAATAAAATGACAATACATATAGAGTAGTTTCTAGGCTGAGGCAATTAGAGTTTTCCTATCCTTCTCCATCGTCTTGACCTGAGCAAGGTTGACTATCCAATGCAAGAGGTCCACAATCGTGCCACCCACGACGGTGAATAAGGAGGGTCTCTACCTCAACTTAGACATCGTATAAAAGCTTGGATAAGGTGCTCAATTCTAGTACAAGAGCCAGGTAGTACGTTGCTACAATGCTTACATAAAGCCACAAAGATTTAAGATAAGGGATCTCATCCTTTAGAAGGTCATGGTCGCAACCTGCAAGTAGACTAGGTGAGCCCTTAGGCCAACCTAGGAAGGATCATACAATACGACCATGCTTGGCAATGACACTTATCGTCTAGTAGACCTTTGTGATTGGGGCTTGTCGCTTTCTTGGAGTGTCGAGCACCTCATACTAGCATTACTTAGTATTCTACTTGTTGTTCTACTTAAATATTTTTTATTACAGATAATGAATGAGTGATGGTTGAAAACTTTCTTATCACTACCATTGCGCCTACAAGGGCTCCAAATTGCCTTATAACGAAGCCACTCAACCCTAGGCTAGTGAGATGGATGCCAAGCAGGCCGAGTCAAACAAACAAACTGCATGATAATATAAAGTAATTAATCGACTAAGCTTGCAAAGATTGTGAAAGCCACTAGACCTTTGACACGTGTTTGGGCATATGGGTAGCTATGAATTGGTTATCCGAAAGATGACTTAACACGAGCTGAGAAAACAATGACAAGAAAGCTAGACCCAATTCACGTATTTTTAAAATATTGAAGGACTAAATTACAACACAAATTTATACCAAGGAAGGTAATCTTTTACAAATATAGATAAACCAAGCATTACACACAGGTAATAAAATCATTAATCAATCACGAGTCTAAAAACATAATTAATACATATTCTAAAGTTTAGGGATATTATAATATAAATTGATTCTGTGTAACAAGGTTTAATTATTCATAAAATTAATGACGTCATAATTTAAATAAATTTCTACACATTAAATAAGATAAATTGGATTACATATAAATCTAATCCACGAAACCAAACGCTCCAGATACATTGGCAACGGTCATGATGCATGGTTAATCAATACATACATACATGTGTACTATGTAGAAGGCACGTGACATGCACGGTATAATTAAATGAATGAATGAATTAATTAATTAATTAATACGCTAGTTTTGGAATTAATTAATGTAATATTATTTAAATTATTCCAATTTCCACGCATAAAGGAAAAGGCAGAACTCGGACTGGTGAGACGAATTCATGCTCCGAGTCGAGTAGTAAATACTGCCGTCGTCGCTCGGCTCCAAGCCGCCGCCGCCGCTGCCGCTACCGCTACCTTCCATGTCGCTCTCGGATTCCGGCGGGGCGGGTTTGAAAATGAACAATCCGTGACCCGTACCCGGATTGGTGAAGAGCCAATCGTGGACGTCCCAGAGGACCTGAACCGATCGCTGGTTGACGACAACCGTCTGATTGCCGCGAAATTTCCACTGCAAATTCTTGACCTGAACCAGAACGATGCCGTCGATGCTGATCCACATCTCGGGATCTTTAGCGCCGGAGGAGGAAATTTCAACGACAATATCGCATTCCTTACGGCGATCGTCGAATCTAGCCCTAGTGGAAAAGCATTTCTTAGCGAACACGTTTTCCTTCTTGTAAATCAAGAACGCTTCAACGAGCGCAGGTCTGGATTTGGTTCTTTTGTAGGCTTTCTTCTTGTAATCGCCTAAGAGCAAGACGACTTCCTCTTCGGCGACTAAGGCGACGTAGAAATCGGAGTAAGGTTCAGGTCCGGAGGAGAATTTGGCGGAGCGGACGTCCCAATAAATGTCGATTTGACATCCGTCTAAATCTAGGGATTTGTAGCCCTTTTTGCTCCAGAAGTTCCAAGGCTTAACGTCGATTTTGTAATTGCAATGGAAATCGCCTCGGAGACTATGGATGGTGACGTTTAAGGTGTGGTTCATGAGATTCTTGCACCATAGAACGGTGACGTTGCGCCAGAAGCCGGCGATGTTGGCCTGGTAGAAACAGGTGACGGTGCTCTGAGCGGTTTTGGTGGTGATTGGTTCTTCGGTGATTTTCTCGGCTAATGGAAGGGGATTAGAGAGGGATTGGGAGCGCATTGAGCGGCTAAACGACATGGCTGGAACTGGAACAAGAACAGGAACAGAGGAACAATTGCATGGAGGAGGGATTGGGAATGATTCATTCAAGCTCGGATTTGGATTTGGATTTGGATTTGGATTTGGAGTGGCTGATTTCTTGGTTTGGTTCTGGTTTTGGGGGGAAGAAAGGGGATATGACAGAGGGAAGGTTAGGGTTTTGTGGAGAAATTTTCTGAAGCTCTGAGGTGGAGAAGAAGGAGGGAGGTTATGGAGGAAGAAAGGGGATTGACCTTTGACAGATGTTTTTTATTTTTTTATTTTTTATTTTTTTATTTTTAATGTTTATCCATTTCATCCTAAAATTGCACCTTCTACTTTTTACCTACTTTTTCCACCTTAAATCTCAAAATTTTCCTTCTAATTTAAATTTTTTATTTATAAATAATTTAGATTAACAAAATCCAATTTAAACCGTATGAAATTAATCAAAGATTAAAAATATAAATTAAACTTTAAATAAAAATTAATATATCCTTCTATAAAATCAGATAGTATTGGATAGGAATTATTAATATTGCGTTTAAAAAATATTTTAAAATTTTTAAAGATTTAAAAGTTTTTTAAAAAATACCCAAAGTTTCATTAAATTCTTAATTTTTTTAAAAAAAATTGAAAAAAAACACGTTAAATTTATTTTTAAAATTTTTAAAAAACAATATTACCTTAGTCTTAGTGCCATATTTAAAAATATTCATTAATTTTAAAAAACAACCTAAAATAATTTGAAAATAATCTATGAAAGGTAGATAAATGTTTTCGTCTATATATTGATAGTAATAACTTTTTAACAAAGGTAAAAAAATGTTTGAACTTTACTTATTAAAAACATTTAAAAAATTTTTTTATCATCAATATATGAACAAAAATCGTATATCGGTGTCTCATACATTATTTTTAAATTTTTTAATATTAGTTTGAAAGTTGGTCGTATTTTTGAAACATGGTACTAATAGCAATGATATTTTTTAATTTTTAAAAAAGTTTAAAGGTATTTTTGAAATACCCTCCAAAATTAAAAGAGTTTTTTTTAAATACTTTTAAAAATTAAAAGGTATTTTTGAAACCGTTCTAAAGATTCAAGAGTATTTTTTAAACAAATATTAATAATTTTTATTCAAAGAAGAGTATTTTTGAACTTTTCTAGAAGTTTAAGGTCATTTTTAGACTTTTTCTTTTAAAAATTTAGATAATTATTGAAACTTGAGAAAAATTAGATATTTTAAAGATAAAATACAAATTCTTATATCTAAAAATGCTAATTACATTATTAGAATTAATTTCACTGCCTTTTAACAAAAAAAAAAAAATAATAAATTAAAAAATTAAAAAAAAAAATTTAATGGGCTAAAAATAACACTTTAAATTATATATATATATATAAGAAAGAACAAGAAAAAAAAAAGAAAAAAAATGAGAATAATGTTGAAAATGGGAGAGAGAGAGAGGATTCCTAAACCATAGACAAAGAGAAGAATAAAAATAAAAAGAAAATTTACAATTAACTAATGTTGTCTGCTTTCACCACCTGTCCTCCCTTAATTAACTTAATTAATCATGCTTAACCCCTAATTACCTTTATTATCAGCTCCCTAAATACAAATTAAGAATAACCACCAAAATCCCACAAAGCATACCCAACTTCAGGCAGCCATGGCTTGGACTGTTCTTCTTGCCTTCTGCAGATGCTGAGCTGCTTCAACTCAAATAATTAAACCCTCATTATTATTTTACACTTCTTTTAAAAAAAATAATAATAATTATCATTATTATTACCTCGACGCTGAATAGTCACATTTTCCATAACCTGTAAATGTAAAAGAAAAAAAAAATCAATTTTTATAAAGGCGTAAGAACCTCTAGAAGATCGAGTTTTAAAATGGTAAGATAGATGACACGTAACACTAGGCCCTTAATGGGGTGGATCGTAAGATTCCACATCAGTAGAGCTAAACACTAGGCGGTGTACCAACGAGTACGCTGCCCCCAAGGAAGATGTATTCAAAAAGTCACCTTGATAAACTATGTCTATATATCATTTATATCGAAGGAGGGAAGCAAAGCCAATGTAAACCTAAAGAGAGAGATATTACTTGGATCTTTATTAGTCAAAGTGGCAGAGCCACCGAAATTGCAAGCCATATCGGAGTTGGCATTCTGCTTATAGAAGCGATTGAATGCGTAAGAAGCATGAGACAAGAGCGTGTCGGGTTGATAGCAAGGGCCCCCCTTTTGAATGGCTCTGCAATCCGCTTTCCCCAATCCACACGCCCAGTCCAGCGCATTCTGCAGGTCGATCTGCGAAACTCCAGGCTTCGCCACGCACCACGAACCCCCCTCTGCACCCGTCGCGTTCCCTTCCGACGGCGTCCACGTCCTCGTCACTGGCACCCCCGCCGCCGCCGCTGTCACCTCCCCTAACAAAACCCACAACACTTGAGAGTCAATATTGGGCTGCAAAAACAGAGGCCTTTACAAGACCCATGCTCTGTTTCAGATAAAGATAAGATTTTGATTAGAAAAAAAACATACCCACAAAGAAATGTTGGAGTAGAAGGAGGATCTCCAAAACCCAGATTTTTGTTCCCATTTTTTGTTCCTATTTTTTTATGGGTTTGAAGCAAGCTGAAGAGGGTGCAAGTTTTAAATACAAGTTTTTTTTTTTTTTTTTTTTTTGGG